GGCTCAAAATCGTTCTCAGTGGCGCAGATGCATCCACTCCTTGTGACTTATGATTCCCAATTAAACTGTTTTGTTCTCCGTTATTACTATTCCTCACACCTCTGTTTACTGTCGATATTATGCATTTCTTCTACTTCCTTCTCTTGCTTTGCGTGCTACATGGATTGTGGCGACTTGAAGTGACGCACATATGTGCAAAGTTCTATGTCGAAAACCGACCGACCGACCCGATCGGTCGGCCTGCTAAATTCGGGCTAACGATGCATATATATACCACTGTATATAGAATATTTTCTATTTGAAGGATGTGTTCAAAATAGTTTGACCGTTGATTGTTTTGCAATTAGATAAATAGAGTGTGTAGCGTTAGGTTAATTTAATTATTGTCTCTCAGTTGACGTTGACGTGCCTTAAAAGTAACCCTAAAGCTTCGAACAGATGTTCCTATAATTTGTTGTTTAAAACTCGTTTAGATGAAGAAGAACGTGTTCGTCAAATCATTCAAGATCTCATTGGTCCCGTACCAGTTGCTGGATTACAAACAAGTTGGCAGCCGGACGTTAAGGTGAGTTTGCTGTGTGTGTGTGTGTTACTGCTACCTGATTGTTTCAGTTCTAGTTACAGTTTCTCTAAACCTGTTCTTTCTCTCAAAAGAAATGACCTATTCCCATTGACAGGGATTTCCCTAAACGTTGAAGTGGAAAAATCGACAGTCAAAAGTTTTACATAGGCAAAGCATTAAAAAGAGTCTAAGGTAGTTGAAGTTTGTGTATATTGGGTATTTCAAAATGTTGACTAATAGTTACGCTGCGTTCAGATCCGCTGTACTGATAAGCTTTCGTTTTGATGATTATTTTGAAAAATAGCTCTGAAGTATGAGAATTCCTGTGACAATAAGAGGAAATTGTTGTTAACCACTAGCAGTACAGTATTTTATATATGGCACAGCGGTAGAATGCTTGCCAACCACGCCTCATGTGGTTCGGGGTTCGATCCCTGGCCGGACGCACTCCTTTACCTCGCTAAGCTATTAATAACACTGGTAAAGAGAGAAGGTTGGGCTAGGTGAGCCTAGCAACCCCATCCCGTAAAAATGAACACCACTGCTACCGAAACTTCAAGCCTCTAGCTTGAAGCCGTATATTCCGCTGGGAACGCAAAGGAATGAAAAAAATTATTTTTTAAAAAGCGCACCTGTTCGTGTTGTTCAGCTGCGCCATTTTTTTTCAAAGGTGCAGTACCATTGAATGGTCAATTCGATTAGTAAGGAAGGAGTAGTGTGTCAATTGACTGTGTCTTTGGATTTTTTCTGATTGTTACCGGTTCCACTCTCCTTTCCTTCTAATACCTTACGATGCGGATCGACAGGAAAAGATCTCTCTGAGTAATCAGTGTGATGATCTAAAACACGACGTTAAGCTATCATGTATTTATTTCATTCGCATAGTTTTGTCGTCAAAAAATAGTTTGACGGAGTAGATAGTCGGTGGGTATGCCGATGTTTACTCCTTCTGAGTGGATGAGCTCGCATATGTGACCAATTGTTTCAGTTAGTGGAACATTTGTAAACAATGAGACAGCATCTAGTGAGATCATCGTTTGATTAGAAACATTGACGTTTTCGATGCAGTTGACGAATTCAAATGAATCTCGCATTGAGTGACGGGAGACTTGTTTTCTGATTGGTTCAAGTAAGTCTGCTAGCCATTGGGCAGTGCGGTGGTAAGGTGAATTAGTCATGTCGAGGATCGGTCGAAGTGGAGTGCCCATCTTGTGTACTTTAGGAAGTCCGTAGAGTCTTGGTATATTTGAACCAGATGGTCTCAGGGATTCAAATGTTTTGTTGGTAATGAAGGATTCGTTCTTTAGTTTACGGAGGATGTCTGTTTGTTTTTGTTCAATCTGCTCCGTCATGTTTTTCTCGTTGGCCGGTTTGGTGAATTTAGATTCATCAGATAGAATGGTCAACATTTTACTGATATAATCCTTACGGTTCATGATTACGATTCCTCCACCTTTATCAGGACGTATCAGCATAATCTCTTCATTGTTCATCAATTCTTTCAGCTCTTTGTAGTGTTTCTTCGTTAGTACGGATCTTCCGTTTGGATTGCCATTTATAAATTTGTGGCAACAGTCGAGGACAGTTGATTTGAATTGTTTTAGGTTCTCATCAGACGTTGGTATCAAGTCATAGGTTTGATTTATCAGGTTTTCAAATTAAACCAGGCATTGATGCTTGTGAACACTTCGTGGTTTTACGCAGAATTTCGGACCAAGAGATAACACCTCTAGTTGAGCTGTGGATAGTGTGATGTTTGAGAGGTTGAATACATACTTTTCTGGATTGCTTGGGAACGGACGTTCGGTGTTAACTGAAGGCTTTAGGCTTTTAAGGAGGTCAGATTTGATGTTGTCGCATTGTTTCTCTGTGACTTCTTTTACATATTCTTCGAAGGGTTGGCGTAGTTCTGGATCTAAGTCTTCGACTACATGAGCACGTGAGTAGACATTTCGTTCTAGCTCAGGAATGCGTGATTGAATGGAGTCGATGTTGTTTAGCTTGTGTCGTCGCAGCGTTCTGGTGTTCGGATGAATGTGTTTGCGTCTGAGTGATTTCCAGTACATCTTAGTCTTCGCTACCGCAGTAGTGAAGACTAAGGTGAACTTCTTAAGAGAGTGTGCAGATCAAAATGAATACCCAAAGATGTACTGGAAATCACTCAGACGCAACCACATTCATCCGAACACCAGAACTCTGAGACAACACACGCTAAAAAGATAGTTGTTTACACTCAGTTCCTGAAACAGCTCTTTTATATACCACAGTACGAACTACATTAATTGTGTATGTCAGGAGGTGATGTAGATGGATCGGGATTCAAATCTAATGCCGTCTGTTAACTGAAAGTTTTTGTTCTTAAGCTAAACTACATCTCTACTTCGTAAAACTGTTGTAGATTTACATAACAAAAGACTTAAAATCCAGCATCCTCTATGTATCTCTCTTTCCAGTTATTCAGAATGTATATATATATATATATATATATGGTTGGTCGAGGTAATACTGGATTTGGGTTCATTCCTTCTGGTACTTCAAAATACAGGAATATACACAACTGAACTCTTGAATACTATTCCGACATTGAAAAAGACACAGGAGACTGATTTAGAAGGCAAAGATGTGTTGTGTCATCGAAAAGCCATTATCATTAGAAATTAAAATTGGTTGTATAGCTATTTTGCATCAATCTCCAACTCACTGATAACCTACTGGATGAATTTCCTGAAGCTGTCTGTACTGAGAAGAAGTCGTGACCAGTGGGGTCCACCATGTCAAGATGAAATGGGGGTGCTTATTGAAGTCATTGGTTGGAGGGTAGTACTATAATGTCAAGAATTGTGACAGAAGTTTGAATTCATGGGTGAATGAATTCCAACCCAAGGGGCTCAATCGTCAGCTGAAGGTCCCGGGTTCTATCTCTGCCAGGGTTATCGGTGAACACGGCTGAAGAGTCCCAAACTAGGACAGAGCAAGTGTTCAGTACTCCCTGGTTTTTAATGATCTCCCTAACTGATGTTACTTCTTCATGAAATCTACATAGAAATTATTCCAAATCCTTATAAAACTCCAAATAATCTAGAAATAAATTGGTGCGTCGGTGGCACAGTGGTTAGGACTCCCGCCGACCATGCAAATGGTCCGGGGTTCGATCCCCTGCCGGCGCACACCTGATATCT